CATGTTCCCACTTCTTCCAGTATTTGTTTCTCCTAGCTTCTCCCACTGATCTTGGCTCATCTATTTCTAAATCTTCTGCACAAGTTAGTGCATACGCCACATAGTGAGATCCATCAAACCTGGTAGGTGGTTTTATTACTCTTCTATCCCGGTCTCTTGCCAGCATATAATCATCAAAAGACTCATGGTGATCCTCCTGACTTTCTTGCTCAGGATCTGATTCCCCATCTTCTTCTGACTAAGTTTCTTCATTTGTCTTTGTTCTTGACTCTGTTCCTTCAGAATTAGCTCCACCTTGACTAGTAGATTATTATGTATCTTCTGAGTTAGCTCCATCTTGACTGTTGGAACTTGTATCCCCTGAGTCAGCTCCACCTTGACCAGTAGAGCTTTGAACTGAGTTACATGTGCTTGGTCCTTGGATCAACTATGTGTTTATGCTTTTTCGTTGTACAGCTTTTTTTCATCAAAGACTACATTCCTGCTGATTGTACACTTTCCATCTTCTGGTAACCATACCATGTAACCTTTAGTACCAAGTAGGTATCCCATGAAGATTCCCTTAACAGCTCAAGGACTCATCTTGTCCTGTTGAACGTATACATATGCCACATATCCAAATCGTCTGAGATAACTGTAATCTACCTTTGATACTGACCAAACTTCTTCTGGAATCTTGAACTTCAGGGATGCATTAGGAGACATGTTGATTAGGTAGACTGTAGTTACAGCAGCTTCAGCCCAAAATTTCTTCTCCATCCCTATTTCTGCTAACATACACCTGATCTTATTAGCTATTGTTCTATTCATCCTTTCTGATACTCCATTCTGCTGAGGAGTATAGGTGCATGTTCTATGTCTCTTGATCCCTGAATCTATGCATAGTTTATCTATTTGTTGGTTGTAGAATTCTAGACAATTGTCTGTCCTTAGACACTTGATCTTCTTGTTTGTTTGATTTTCCACGAGCTTCTTCCACTCTGAAAACTTCTCTAACAGCTCATCTTTACTTCTTAAGAATCTGATCCAGATTTTCTTTGAATAATCATCAATGAAAGTTAAGAAGTACTTGCAACCAAACAAACTTGATTCATTTGAGACTGAACCCCACAAATCACTATGTACATACTCCAAGATGCATGTTGTTGTATGCTTAGCTTCCGCAAAGCTTTGTTTGTGAGACCTGCCTAGGACACATTCTTCACAGAAATCCAACGTGTGAACTTTTTTTGAATCTAGCTAACCTTCTTTGACCAGAATGTTCATGTTCTTTAGACTCATGTGTCCTAACCTGGAATGCCATATGTTAGTGAGATTTACTTCGGCTCTTGCCACAGATGCTTCCCCTTTTAAGACTGTTCCCTGCAAATAATAGAATCCATCCTGATACTTACTTGTAAACACTTTCTTGCCTTGTTTGAAGAATGTGATTGCAAAATCTTCACCAACATAGTTGTATCCATTCTTTTCAAGTTGACCATATGAGATAATATTCTTGCCCATTGTAGGCATGTATCTCACTTCTGTAAGTATTACAATAGAACCATCCGGGTTTTGTATCTTCAGCTTGCCAATTCCTTTAACTTCACTGTGAGTGTTGTTCCCCATCAAGACCTTTCCTCCATCAATCTTCTCGAAATCAAACAAAGCATCTTTGTCTGGTGTGATGTGGAAAGTACAACCAAAATCTAGAACCCACTCATCTCTTGTGTTTTGTAGGCTTGCTTTTAGGATCATAGGATGCTCTTCTTCTTGAGAAACATTTGCAGCATTAGTAGATTTTCTTTGAGGATAATCTACCTTAAAGTGACCTTCCTTGCCGCATACCCATCACTCTCTTGCCTTAGGCTGATTCCTATGTCTTGACTTTGATCTCTTATCATTGCTCTTTGACCAGTTGCCTCCTTGACCATTGTTCCTGTTCTCAGATCTCCCTCTGCTCTCAAACAGTCCTTCTGAGTTAGCCTTTGACTTAATCTTTAGCTGGATCAAACTCAACCTTTTTTGTTTCTGTCTTCACTTCTGTTATCCCCTTGCCACTGTCTCCACGGGCTGCAGAAGTACTTGTCTGTTGTAAAGTAGTAACAGTTTCTGGTTCCTTTAGAGTGTGATCTAAACCTTGTAACTCTAGCTAACATCTGACCTTGAACTTCCATAACCGAAAGTCTCCTTTACCGTCAAACTTTGGTACGTCAAACGACTTTTGCTCTTTTGAGCCCATACTGATATAGTTTCAGGGAGAAACTATATCCTTCTTTTCCTTACCTAAATTATCCTTAGCGTGAACACCCGCATAACCTGATTTTTGATCGTCTTCAGCTTAGCCTGGATGCTCTGACACCACTTGTGAGGTTTTAACCCGATTAGCCTTTACGAATGCGGAAACAAAAAAACCAATCAACACAAAGAATTACGAGTTCCTCTCCAAGCTGGAAAGTACTTCTCAAACATCCACTAAATAAATCCAAGTATAAGTTTCAATACAATCCTCTCTTGTCTCTCAATCTAACACTCTTTATGTTTCTCTCTTATAGGTACCTCAAGAAAAAACAAGATAACTTGAAACTTATTCACCAATGCTTGGAGTGTAAAGACAAACCCAAGAACAAAGAGAAGAAGAACAAGAAACCTATCTACAAGACCTTAAGCTCTCAAAGACAAAATCTCTCTAGAACTCTCTTAATTCGAAAACTCTCTCTAGCTTTTTCTTTCTTTGCTTTTGCTTGTTTGTGATGATGAATTGTGAACCCTTGCCTCTCTTTATATAGACCTTGTAGACCGCCGAATTCCAAGTTGGATTTGGATTCCTATTTCTCTTTAGAATTTGACTTTCTTGTTTGTCAAGTAAGAGAAACCTCCTCAAAACATCTTCATGGGGTTCTTCCTTTGGATTCTTCTTATGGCCCAGCTTTGGCCCAGCTCGTTTTGCAACAACCCGGTTCACAACCCGAACCGGTTCCCTGACCTGACGACAACTTATCCACAGTGTTGAACTTCTTATAAAACTTTAAAACAATGAAACGTGATATGAAGTTTGAGAAAAATGAAATGTAAGATGTGGTTTATATAGAATTTTGAATATAAAAAAATAATGGTTTTTAATTCTTTTTAAAATAAATAAGTTTTGAGATGTGTGTACAGTAGATAGAATGTTCATAAATTGTTAACTATGGACTGCTGCGTGGGTCGTCCACTTTTTTCCACAAAAAGACAAAAATAACTGAACCATGTGTATATCCTATACTTTTGGTAATTTATTTAAAAAATTCATGAATGATAAAATTTATTGCAGTTCGTCCATTTTAATGGTGAGCTTAAGACATGGGCATTCGGGTACCCGTTCGGGTTCGATTCTTTTTTTTCGGGTATCGGATCTATTCGGGTAGGGGGTCGAGATCCATTCGGGTATTCTAAAAATTCGGTTCGGGTTCGGTTCGGGTTCGAGTCGGTTCAGGTATTTTAATAAAAAAACAAAATACCCGAAAATAACCAAAAATACCCGAAACATTTTCGGGTTCGGGTCGGGTTCGGGTTTTTTACTCGTATATACCCAAATCTAACCGAAATACCCGATTTCTCAAAAATACATTTGTTACTCTTTGCCCAAATATAACCAAAAATATCTAAAAATACTAAAATTACCCAAAAGAAAACTACATCATTAGTTACATTTTAACCAAATATATCCAAATGTATCCGAATTACTCAAAAATACCTAGTATATTCGGATTTATGATTGTAATTTTAGGTATTTCGGATATTATAAGTATAAATATAACTAATATTTTTAGGTGTATATTTGTATTCGGGTACCCACGGGTATTGGATTCGGTTCGGGTTCGGTTCGGGTTTTTTTCGGGTAGGAGGTTTAGGATCCATTCGGGTATTTTTAAAAATCGGTTCGGGTTCGGTTCGGATATTTTTTCGGGTTTTTCGGTTCGGGTATTCGGTTCCGGATATTTTGCCCAGGCCTAGTGAGCTACTATTTAAACGATGTCCATTCAGACCCTATGTTTATGATGTTTCAAGTGCGTTTCTTGTTTTCATTTTTTTAATAAGATTTTTTCTTTTATAAAATAATAATATATGTATTAATTATTTGATCAATACTTATTTTCTTCAAAAATATTGTTCGTCACACAAAATTTAGAAAAGTTTACTTAATTAGAGTTTACATGATAACATAATAATATAAATCAAATACTCGATCTTTATATGAAACTTTTTGTGTTTAACGTTTTTGTATATGTAAAATAATAAATATATTTATCGTATTTATAGATTATAATCAAGACTATGTTAAACCAATATTACAAATTTATTTTAATATATTTATTGTTAGTATGTATAGTTTATGTAAAATATTTTATTTAAAATTAACGTTTTCTACAATATAAATATTTCACCTGCACCGCCTGATCTGCTTCACCATTCAATACATATTTTAAAGCGTTCAAATCGTTTGATTCGAATTGTACTGCAAGCTCTGCTTGATTCTCTTTTATTCTGTTTGATACGCCCGATATACTTGATCTGTTCCGTCTGATATGCTCTTTCATCGCGATCGACATACAAAGAAACATACAACACAACATAAAGGAAAGAGATAGGCGATCGACATCCGTAGACATTGAGGAGATAATTAATTTCCATGTTGTGATTCTTGATTCAAGAAAACTTTGGGCCGAAAGACCTGAATTTTTTGGTTACAAGTAATAAAATAAAAACAAAAACAAAAATCTAGTAAGAGAGACATAAGAAGCTTTGAATTTTATTTGTAATGATACAAAGCTTTACGAATTAAACACGTGCAATGTATTTTCAGACCGGTGAACATTTAACGGATGAAATTATATGACATATCAACATCAACAATATTTAATCAAAGATATTGAAAGATATTTTGATTATTTAATTATTAAAATTTAATTTGATCCAGACACACTTTATTTTGTTTTGTTTTGTTATATATTACAGAGAGACAACGCACCCACCGACACACGTCTCTCTTTCTTTCCTTGAATACAAAAAAAAAACATTATGGCGGAAAAATACGACCGTGCCGGTGAGATAAAAGCATTCGACGAGATGAAGATCGGCGTGAAGGGTCTCGTCGACGCCGGAATCACAAAAGTCCCACGCATTTTCCATAACCCGCATGCTAACGTAGCAAACCCTAAGCCTTCCTCGACGGTGGTGATGATTCCAACAATCGATCTTGGAGGTGGCGTGTTCGAATCCACGGTCACGCGAAAGAGTGTGGTTGCGAAGGTTAAAGACGCAATGGAGAAGTTTGGATTTTTCAAAGCTATTAACCATGGGGTTCCACTTGATGTGATGGAGAATATGAGAAATGGTATTCGTGGGTTTCACGACCAAGATCCAGAAGTGAGGCAAATGTTCTATAGTCGAGACAAAACCAAAAAGGTTAAGTATAACTCTAATGCTGATCTCTATGACTCTCCTGCTGCGAGTTGGAGAGATACCTTAAGTTGTGTAATGGCTCCTGATGTTCCAAAAGCAGAGGACTTACCAGAGATTTGTGGGTAAGAAAGAAGACTAATCTAAATTAATTCTTGGTTAGTACCTAAAGATCCAAACTTTGATTTGATGTTATAGATGCGTTTTGAAAGTTGATTGGTGTGAATATTTTAGGGAGATCATGTTGGAGTACTCAAAGAAAGTGATGAAGTTAGCGGAGTTAATGTTTGAACTTTTATCAGAAGCTTTAGGGTTGAGTCCTAACCACCTCAAAGAAATGGATTGCACAAAAGGTTTATTGCTGCTCTGTCATTGTGTCCCGCCCTGTCCTGAGCCAAACCGAACATTCGGCGGCGCTCAGCACACAGACAGATCTTTCCTTACTATTCTTCTTCACGACCACATTGGAGGACTTCAAGTTCTCCACGATGGATACTGGATCGATGTTCCTCCTAATCCCGAAGCTCTTATCTTTAACGTTGGAGATCTCCTACAGGCAAGTTGTGTTTACACTTGAAATCAAATGGTCTATACAAGCCCCACATAGGTTTTTTTTGAAAATGAAAAATTACTTCTTTTTTTGCAGCTTATAACGAATGACAAGTTTGTAAGTGTGGAGCACAGAGTTTTGGCAAATGGAGGTGAAGAGCCGCGCATTTCGGTCGCGTGTTTCTTTGTACATTCTTCACCAAGTTCGAGAGTATATGGACCCATTAAAGAGCTTTTGTCAGGCATGCAAAACCCTTCCAAATACAGAGACACCACTGCTGAAGCCTCCAATCATCACTATGTGGCTAGAAAACTTAATGGGAATGCTTCGTTGGACCATTTAAGGATCTGAGGTTCCTTGAGTTTCCAATAAAATCTGTGAAGTACCATGTTAAATACCTTGAACGTTTCATTCAATAATCCTTCAGTTGTGAGTTTCGGTTGCATGTTTGCCCCAAACTAGAGAATATGGATCAATCGAAGCGAGTGAATCTTTAAATTTGTAAAATTTTAAATAAACATTGAGATTGTATTTAAGGATTTTCCATTTGTTATAATCTCAAATTTACCTTGAATGAGGTTTATAATTGGTTATTTAAATCAATGGCATTTTGTGTAATATATTACCTCAATCAAAAATGTGAATATAGATTTACTGCATTTTAAGATGCTGCAGTCAATAATACATCAGATTAGTATATTTTCTGGAATTGTTATTGAGTGGATCAATATAATCTTTTATTACTAAACCCAAAACCACATTCACCTCTTCCCTGCCTCTGCTATGTTTTTCGTTGGAAAATCAAAGATGTATATGAATATGACTACATAGAATTCACCATTCTTACTTTATAGAAAAATAAGTAGATACAAAAGCATCATAGAAAATACATGCAAATGCTTCAATACAAACTATTTGACAAACATGTAAGATTCAAATTCAAAACCAAAAATATCCTACCAGATTCTGTGCTTATTCGGACCCATAATATTGGTGAGCCACTCAGGCTTGTATGAAGCAATGACTTGTGCAATTGCAAATCCAACCAACAGTCCAGGTCCATACCCCATTGCAACTGCTTTCCAGTCTAACACTTGTTGTTCTTCTTCTTCTTCTTTCTTATGGTCCTGCCTTGGAGATGCACTAGTGTCGAAGCAACTTTCCTCGAGAGGAAAACCACAAAGCCCTGCATTCCCTTCAAAGGAAGATTTCAATTGCCCAGTAATTTGTGCTCCTTGTGGTATTTCACCATTGAGTTGGTTATGAGACACACTTATGTACGCCAAAAACGAGAGTGCCTTGAGTCCATTAGGAATAGTCCCTGAGAGTTGGTTTCTTGACATGTCTAGTGACTGGAGCTCCTTAAGATTGGCCAAAGACTGAGGAATATGGCCTGTAAAAGCGTTGTTTGATAAGTTCAGTGCAATCAATGCCTTTAAAAGGCCAATGGATTCAGGAATGTTTCCTTCAAGTAGATTTCTAGAAAAATCAATGGTGCTGTAGGAAGTTAGGACCTTCGCTTGCTCCATGTGTAGACCTTTGTACTTCAAATCTATACGATCCAAAAAGGTATAGACAACTAAACCATAAGGATTCTTCTCGTAAACCATATATAAACCCGCATATTCATTCATCTTGGAGGTAGATACTTTCCAATTCACAAAATATCTTGGCGGCAAGCTTCCAGTAAATTTATTATCAGATATCTCAAGTATTCGCAGCTCTGGAAACCCAAGAGGACCTTGATGAGGAGGAGATATAGGACCATAAAACTTGTTTGAACTGAGGGTAAGGACTTGTAACTTTGGTAAAGCCTTGAGCCAGAAAGGAAATGTGTCTTTGATTATGTTGTTGTCAACGCTTAAAAACTCTAGAGATGAGCAATTCAAAAGAGACCTTGGAAGTTTTCCGGTTAGTCGATTGTATCCAACATCAAATGTCCGTATGGAGGAACCGACAATGAATGTGTCTGGAATAGTTCCTTCCAAATTGTTTTTCCGGAGATTTACAAATGTGACATTACTCAAACATTGAGGAATCGGACCGATGAGGTTGTTGTAGTTTAGATCAAGGACACCAAGCGAGATTCTGGTGCATATTGAAAGAGGTATCTCCCCAGTGAAATTATTATAACCCGCAGAGAAGGCGTTGATAGAGTGTGGTAGACTAGGAAGTGCTCCTTGAAAGTTGTTTGATTCCAAAAGCAATATCCGCACCGATGAATTTACTAAAACTTCCCTTGATCCTTCGAAACCGTCGAAAGAATTATTTAAAATATTCACTAAATGCAGAAGAGGAAGGCTCCATAACCACTCGGGGATTTTTCCGTCGATTCTATTGTTGGATACGTCTATAGCTTCCAACTTTTGAAGGGTCTTGAATATGTTTGGGAACTCTTTGAGGCCACAGTGCTTTAAGAACATCATTGCCATGTTTAATGGGATGTATGAATCTGAACTTAAACTGGCTAGAGATATACTATTACCGGAAAGATCAAGGTGCACCAAAGATTTGAGAGAAGAGAAGAGTCTTAAGTCTATTGGGTGGCTTGTGTTTAGATAAGAAAGGTCGAGATGTGTGAGGTTGGTGAGCTTTGAGACAGGCTCTATGATATTTCCTTCAAAATGGTTAAACCCAAGGTACATGTACTCAAGCCTAAATGACGTAAAGGATTTAGGAACTTCAATAGAACCAGTGAGATTGTTTTCACGAAGATCAAGATAAAATAAATAAGGAATAGTGAAGAGGGAAGAAGGAATGGTTCCAGAGAAATCATTTTTATAAAGATTTAGAACGGAGAGGTTAGTTAGATTTTGTACAAGCGGGATATTACCGGTGAGCTTGTTTTGGTCAAGGTACAAAAGTTTTAACTGGGTTAGGTTACTAATGGTGGGAGGAACTTGACCGAAGAAGCCATTAGAGGAAAGAGAAAAGACTTGTAAATTGTTGAGATAGCCAAATTCGGAAGGGAGTGAGGAACTGAAGTTATTGACCTCAAGATTAAGGTAACGAAGACGGTGCAACTCAAAGAGGCTACTATTGGGATTCAAAGTTCCAGAGAAGTGATTATGAGAAAGGTCTAAAAGTGTGAGCTTGGTTAGATTCCGCAAAAGTGGGAAACTACCGGTGAGATAGTTTTGGGAAAGGTCTAACTGATAAAGCATGCTAAGGTTACTAAATGAGGAAGGAACTTGGCCAAGGAAGCTATTAAAGGAAAGAGATAAAACCTCTAATTTGTTGAGATTTCCAAACTCGGAAGGGAGGGAAGAGGAGGTGAAGTTGTTGTTAGAGAGATCAAGGTAGCGAAGATGATGAAACTGGAAGAGGCTACTGTTGGACTTGAGAGTTCCACTAAGACAGGCCCGTAGTCGTAGCTTTGTGACCGCACCTGTGGAGTTATCACACAAGATTCCATTAAAGTAGTCACTGTGGTTGCAACTGCGGGTATCAAACTCGTTCTTGAACTGCGTAAGGGCTTGAAACTTGTGGGGATGACAACGTACTAGACCAGAAACAGGATTATTTGTATTGAATCTTATAATGACAAAGCTTGAAGGGCAGACACAACAAAGTAAGAGTAGCGAGAGAAAAAGCAAACGCAAAGGCGATTCAAACATGGTCGTCATGAAATGTTTTTAAGAAGAATGATTTTGTTTAAGAAAAGTGAGAAAAAATGATATAAATAAAGGGAAGGATTTCGTTGAAACATGACTTAGAAGAAGTCAGAGCTAACTAAGGTCAGCAGAAAAGTATGCATAAGTGCCAATATAATGTCTAAGAGCCACTCAAATCATGACGTGAAATCCACGTTACTAAATTTCACCAACGTAAAATTTGGAATGGAAATCCACATCAATCAGTTTGAAATTTATAACCTATGTTCAGACACATTTGCTACGTTTTTGGATCGGAGGATGGAGAAGTTTGCACCTCTTAGAGCTTTGCAAAATAACATGTGGCATTGATTTTTTTTTGTGGATTGTCAAAGTTCAAAGTTAGGGTCTTAGGGACGTGATAAAGTGGCATTGAATATTGTTTGTTTGTGGATTTGTCGAAGTTCAAACTTCAAAGTTAAGGACTTGTCAAAGTGATTACATTATGGAGACGATCTCTCTGATTCGTCATTCTTACGTCGCGTGAGTAAGGGAGAGAGGTGGCGACTGGCGAGAGTTCTGCTTCGATGCTTCAAGTACACTAGAGCTCTTTAGTGCTAGTGTTAACAGCCCCGGCCCAATAAATAGAGGCCTTAGGATAAACAAATTTTTAGACCTTTTAATAAAAAAAAAATTAAAGCAAATTTATATTTATGGGCATATTTAAAAAAATATAACTTTTGGGCCTTTTTCGAAACAAAATGGTGAAATTCTTAAATAGTTGGGGCTAACAATAGAACTTTTAAAGGTTTTCTTAACAGATCTTAAAATATTAAAATTTGGGGATTTTTTTGTTGAAAATTTAAATTTATTCATCAAAATCAAAAGGTATTTACAGGAGCGAAAAATCAAATGAATCAATAATAGTATAAGAAGGTGTTATTCAATCATTAAGTTTGAATCAATTATAAGGTTTAGAATTGAAATTTAATATTATTTTTAAGAATCTATTTGTGTAGATTTCAAATCTCTGTAGTATATCACATATTTTTATTCTATTAATTTAATTTACTTATGAAACTCCCAAGAGATTTTATTTAAAACTACTCAATATACAAGTCGTTTAGGTTTTGAATAATACTATATATTAGTGAAATATTTCAAATTTTAGTTGAAAACAAAAATTTGAAATTTATTAAACATGATTTACAAATATAAGATTAAATAATACCAAATTTTAAAGCATAATTTTTTTGTGCAAAATTTTAAAGCATAATTTAGAATCATTAACTTCTTTTTTTATATAACTTAGGGTAGATCCTAAGTCTATGGAGGGGTCCGTACTAATCCCTGGATAGATTCGCTCTCCGAATATTCAAATGGGCCGAAAGCAAAGATTCATATCCATGTGGGTGTCTACGAATAATGTGTTGGAGTTTCACGCAGCAGCAGGTGGATTGAACTTAAGATGGGTTGGTGCCCCAAGCATGTCTCCTTACCACTAGACCACAAGGTGGTGGACTGGAATCATTAATATGAACGGTGGATTAGTATGAGATTTTAATTCTATTAAATCTTAGACTGAATAACATCCCCTAAAACAATGAGACTGTTATGGTTCGTTTCGTTATAAACCGACTCAAAAACTAAAGCATTATGGCTTAAACAAAAGAGAAATTGCATTTCATACCATACGACCGAATATTAATTAAGTCAAATTGCGAGGGAAAGTCCTCATATTTGATCTCAAGTATTAGAAAAACGATTTCGTAAATAAATGATAGTGATAAATTAATTTATCCAGAAACGTGTACGTGACCTGGTTACAAAAATGAGACACCCTTACTTGAGTTGGTCATGAAGAGACAACAGCTTAGCTTTTCTTTTTTTTATTATTCTCCACAAGCAAATAAAATAAAGAATTTGTCATTATACATATATTTGGTAATGGACGGTCACATATTAGCTGTCAAATATATATAACACATTGAGTCACCTAACTCTTTTGATCTGACAGAGACTTCCACATACATCTCGTGCTTTCGTTTTCCAATCTCAAGTCAATTCTCAACTATAAAAAGATGAATTATATTTATGGAATATTAGAAAGAAAAACAACAAAGCGACAAATCTGTTTCACCTAATAATCTACAAATGAACCAATGGCTTCAAACTTCAAAGAGTGGCTATGTTTCACTTGTCTGTTTTGGACAACACAACCCAAAATATAACAAGTCCTACGGAGACTTTCTACGTCACAACTATCCGACAAAAGTGTTCATAAGTAACTTTTAAAAACAGTCGAAAACATGAAACATATCAAAATGTTATACAGAATTGGAATCAAGATTCTCAAGAAAGTGTACATAAACTATAAATCAAACTCGAGAAGAGAAAAGGAAGAAGATTGAATCGTTTTACGACAATCCGGGGATATGATAAAAACACACAAGATCAAAGGTGGAAGACGAGTCATCTACACATATATGAGTGGGTGCAAAAAACACAAAAAAGAATGAATCAGTAAGGATTGTTGTAGTAATAACCCGTCGGTGGCGGTCCCATACCGTTGACAGGTGGCATTCCGTAAGCTGGATATGGACCGGTGTTCATCTTTGCCAAACTGGCTTGACCTCTCATGCCTTCACGTTGGTATTGCTGCCATAGCTGCTGCTCTTGACTCAGTAGATACTGCTTCTTCTCCATCTCGGCCATTTGTACGTATGAAGGTGGTGGAATGGTTAGTGAGGCTGCGAATGGGTCTTGGTTCACTTTCTCCACGGTTCCATCTGGTGCGGGTAAAGCCAATACTTGATTGTTGGTTTTACCTGGTAAGGGTAAAGCTACGCTGCTCGCGCTACCACCAGTCAATTGCGAGGTGCTCACGTGTTGTCTGACCATTCCTTGATCGTACATCCCGTTAAGCAACAAGTTATCGAACCCACCGCCCAAAGCGGCTGTCTGTTTTTCTAAATTGCTAGCTGTTTCAACCAATGCCAATTCCCAATCCGCTTTCCCGGGCTCTGCAGCAGGATTCTGCCAAGCAGAGGTCACTCCATTCGAAGAGAAAGCTTCCCATTTTCCGTTATTACCCGGTGGACCTGCAAAGAGGGCAAGCGCAAACTTGTTCCCTTGGTCATCCGCCGTGACTTCATCCTCCCTCAAGTTAACTAAATCCTCGGTAAATTGCGGTTTTTGAGGCTGAGGTTCTGGTTCAGGCGGAGGTGGAGGAGTGTAATTCTCTGGAGGAGGAAGCGCTTTGATTTCGTTCATATCAGGTTCAGGCTCCTCTTCTTGAACCGGCGGAGGAGGAGCTTCGATCTCTTTCCTCTCGGGACTCTTCCCTCTCTTTGCCCTGTCTCTAACAAACTCTTCCAATGTCTCCAACAACTTGCTTGTAATCCTCTGAACTTCCGGATACTCAGACGATCTCGCCACACCCGTTTCCTTACACCAATTATAAAACGCAATAAGCTCATCAATCTGTTTAGCCGCACTAGCATAAGCATCAAAGGCCTTAACGCAATCCGTATACTCCATATCGAAAAATTTATCCAACAAAACAGCCAAAACCTCACAGATATCAGCATACAGCTTAAAACTCTCCCTCACAACGGGATACAACGCGATCAATATCATCCTACTGTTCTTAGCTAAACCAGTAGGTCTCAATGACAAAAACCGATCCAGCAGCCTTTGCAAATGACCCATCTTTCCGAAAATCCTCTCCGGCGTCATTTCCCTCAAAGGCGTTACAACTTTCTTCTCATCTCTCCCTCCTCCGCCTCCTCCTCCCATCTCAGTCATATCTCCGTAAGACCGAGATCTCTTCGGCACACCACCATAACCATTAGTATCTCCTCTGAAATCACCACCACCACTCTCATAATCATAAGAACGAGGCGGTGGAGACCTAAAATCATCTCTTCCTCTCCCATATCGATCATCACCATTACTATGATGGCTACTATTACCACCACTATTAACCGACACACCACTCTTCCTCTCAAACAAAGCTAACTCAAGCCTCTGATCCAAATAACCAGCATAAGTCCTAACAAAAGCCGAATGATCCCACGAACTCGAATGCGCTTCATCGCGAAAATCAGACATGTTTAACATCCTCGTACCTCGTCTAGTCGAATAAAGAATCTCTTCTTGAAAAATCGGATCTCCTTCATTAAGAAGTCTATGCACAAGCATAAGCGCCTTGAGAGCAACAATCCAATCACGCGTCTTACTCAATCGCCGTGAAACGGAAGTAACACAAGCGAGGATATAGCCACGGGAGAGAGAAGTCAGGTTTAGAATCTCACGAATGTATTTCTCGCTTGCGGGATCGTCGTCGTGGCTTGTAGCTTTCACGATAGCTACTTCTAGATCTGGAGCCATGTTGCTTGCTACTTTAGCGATTCCGATGCTTGTTTGGTCTTTAACCGCACCAATCGCTTTTCGAATACTCGGCGCCATCTCCGATTTCGCACAACTCTTCAAAAAAAAAAAACGGAGAATCGAAAATAATTTGAGATTGATTAAGAATCTAACGGGAAACACAATTTGAAAATCGATTTGGATTTTTTCTTTGAGCTATTTTTAGAAATTACCGTTAGGTTTGTACCTTGGCTAGATCTACGGAGGAGGATTCGTCGGAGACCAAAACGGTGTCGGATTTGTTGGAGATCTCTGGGATCTATAGATCTGTAGAAACGCCAAATTTGGCGTTGTGAGATTCGGCGAAGGAGTAAAAGAGAATGGTGGTGTGGTGGTGGCTGAAGAGAGAGAACAGAGTTGGATTTAAGAGGAAAGTTGGAGTCTGTGATGACGTGGCGATTTTTAAGTCGTTGATTTAGAGAGAAGGAGATGCTAAAGCTTTTTTTTTTTCTACCGAGCATTGTCGGGAGCTGTGTGCTTGTCGGAAAGTAAAGATGTAATTTGTTTTTTTTGGTTCCAAACTTCAAACATGTAATTTGGGTAATAATAACAGATTATTATTTTCTCAGTGGAAAATTAACTCTAGTTTTTGAAATGTAGGTAAAATGTAAAACAGGAAATATACTTTTGTTTCGAAGTAGAAGCAGAAATATTACTTTTTTTTTCAAGTCGGGAGGATCGAAGTTCGAAAGCGTTGAAAATATTATTTTATTTAAAAATAATAAATGCGGTGGCCACGGTCTGAGCTGGTACGACGGCTTATTCATATAATGTAATTTGTTTACGTCTCATTTTTATGTTGTGGACTAATTTTAAAAAAATGATGTTTCTATAGGAGAAATCAACTAATCTGAAACAAAAGAACAACTCCCTCTCATTAAGTGATACTCCATCCGTTTTAAATTAGTTATCGTTTAAGGTTTTTTCACGTTTATTAAGAAAAATCAATTTTTCTGTTTTACCTTTAAGGCTAGGCCTGGACACAAATATGGATCCACATAGAACCGAACCGAACCGAACCGAACCGAAATTGATGGGTACGGTTCGGTTCCGGTTCTAATGAAAATATCGATTGGATCTTGAATCAAAGAACCATGGATATCGGTTCGGTTCGGGTAGGAACCGATATCCATTCGGGTACCCAAAAACTATAGCCCATTAACCTATATTTATATAACTCAAAGTTTTAAACCCATCTAGACATAAACCTAACTACCCAAGCCTAACAACCTACTATATATCTCTCTTAGCCTCTTATATATTTCTCTGAAACCTAAAGAGAAACCCTAGTTTGTTCTCTCTTTCTCAAAGAAGGAGACGCCGCAGATAACAACTCTCTCTTTCGAATCATTGCAAATCGAAGACAAATCTTCTTTTGGTGTTTTTAAAACTTGTGTTTTGTGGTATTTTTAAAACTTTGGGTGTCTTTTGACTTAATACTTTCCAAATTTCAACTATTTTTTGAATTTGTAATGGTATGATGACTAATATGTGATGTTGCATTGCATACTTGCATAATTGCATTTGAATTTTACATTATAATTCTATTGTTTTTTCGGTTCCAAAAATATCCGAAACAGTTTGGTTCCTATTTGGTTCCAAAATTTATTACCCGAACCGAACCGAACCGAATAGGAACCGAACCGATATTGATTTGGTTCCAATATGGTTCCTAAATCTCAGAACCTCAGAACCAAAATACTTGGAACCGAATGGTTTGGTTCTAGAACCGAACCGAATACCCAAACGCCCATGCCTATTTAAGGCCATCCACAATGGTTTCAACATTCAACACCATTTTTTTTTAACACTCCACATCATCTTCTCTCTTCCACCTAATACTTCAACACCCATTCAACTTTTATCATCTACAATGGTTTTGATTAATAAAATTCAACACCTTATCCCACCATATTTTATTTTCATATTTTTTTATTGTTTTCTGATGACATATTAATAACAATTATCGATTAAAAATAAAATAAAATAATGTAAAATAAATAAGTAAATAATTTTCTTTTGCAAATAATAAAAACAAAAAATAATCATTATAAAACAAATAAAATTACGAAAGTTTTGAAATTTAATACAATACACAGATAAATACACAACACAACTAATAAAGCACACAAAACATAATTAGTACAATAAACACAACTCACAAACATTAAAGCTTTTAAATCACACAAAAACTTAAAAAAAAAACTCTTTAATCACGAAATTTTGCCAATATGTGTTTCACTAGATCTGCTTGCAGTTCATGATGTACATTTGAATCACGCAACTCTGATCTAGCACGCACATGGTCTGCAAATACAAGTAGCACTTCGGTTGAGAATAGTTGCGGTGTAGTAGATCCACTTGCCTCCGATTGGTCATAATCGGTCCAGTTTTGAGCATATGTATCTCTTTCATCCTTAACAATCATTTTATGTATATGATACATGACCTCGTAATGATAGCCAAAAAGATGATACATGATCTCAACAAACAATTATCAGATTGATTTTGAAACTGATAATTGTTGGGATTTAGATAGTTAAAAGGATGATTAGAAGAATTTTAGGTGTTAAAAGGGTTATTGTTGGGATCCATTTAACAAAAAAAAAGTGTTTAATGAACAAAAATAGATGATTGGAAGATAATTGAAAAATTGTACTGATAATGGCGTTTTTTTCTCTGTGTCCAAATGAAATGAGACTAGACTCTATTTATAGATCATTAAAAATGCTGAATTTTGATAATTTTTTATTTATTTTTAAAGTAGATTTCTATCAAATAATTGAGATCAAATTATTAGGATAAATAAAAATCATCAAAATTATTTTCTTTATATGCGTGGACCACACACACAAATTTGGTCTTTTCATACACTACATGTGGCAGCGCATGACCCATTTTTTTTTTATTCAACACATTATTTGCCATGTGTATTTTTCTTTAATTTCGACTCTCTCATTCTAGTGATTAAACTGTTAATTTTTTTTTTCAACAGACCATTGTACGTGGTCTAATTAATATATTATTTTATTTGATATCGTTAATAAATAAGCTTAAAGAGTAGGGATACAATTGGAAAATTTGTCAAACATCTGCATAGAAAACAAAAAAACGACAACTAATTTAAAATAAAATTTAACTTGTAGAACGACAACTATTAAAAACGGAGGGAGTATGATATTTTAGCCCCAAAAAAATTGTTTAATTTTCAGGGAAAATATAAATATTATTTTGTATTGATTTTAAATTAAAACTTTAATTATTATACGGTATACCGTATACCTAAACAAACTGCGAAATATGTTAGCAACCCTCATTTCTCTAAAGTACCTCATCTGAAATATGTTCCCTCTTTTGAGGTCCTTCGCCATATGTTATCTCCTCTAAGGCCACACTCCCAAGAGTCACTCACGAAAATATATTCGCTCTTCGGAGGTTTCTCATTGATGCGAATTTCCTAGAAGTCTCTCACCGTTCATGAGGCATCTAGAGTCTATTAGCCCCCTAAGTTCCTCACCGTTTGCTCACTCGCCAAAAATGTGTCACCATCTGGAATACTTTGTGTACACTTCAAAGGTCCACTAATGAAAAAGGAACACTATTTTCCCGCAAATTGGCAGAGAGATATATTCCAATCTTATTGGAGAACAAAAAGAGAATGCATTAACTTTACCAGCACTAATCTTCTGTCTCCATTTCATAACTAAGTCATAACTATTACAAGAAAAGGTGCAGAGTAAGTTAGGCTTTTTGGCAGATGCTTTACGATGAATAATACACAAAAAGACAGATATTTATTATGAATTACGTTACATAGACAAACATACGTACAAAAAGAGCAGTAATCTCACTTACATACAAAAAGATTAGTTAGCTCAGAGAGACATACAGAAAACTAAGACAACCTCTGTGGTCACTGGTCAGTAACTATGATCTGAGTCATTAGAATAACCTCCATTGTCATCAAGTGGAGCTGCTTCACCCCATCCTCCACTCCACAATGGCTGAAGGACGATGACCTTACCATTACTGAGCCCAGCAGAGATCTGACTCGGATGTGAAGGATGAGCGGCAACAACAGTCGGATAAACCTCGAGCCTGTGCCATCCCAAATTTGTTAGCAAACTCAATTGCATCATTGCTTGAATCAAAATAGAAGTGTGGGCAAGGAAACTGTACCTGATGTTGTTGGGGCTGGGTTGAGTAAGAGAAGTCAGATTGATTCGACATACCGTCATGAAGGTCCTGGAGTCCACAATTTTTATAAATCCACTTCTAAAGCCAACATAGATGATCTCACCATCGGAAGAATATGTAGCGGAAGTTATTGCATTATCAGATTCATCGGGTATCCACTGCGAAGCATTTTTTATTTAGAGTCGATAAGATAAAACTAGAGGCAAGGGAATATTATCAGAGAAGAGAGTTTTTAAAGTCTTTGCCTTTTACCTGCAAACGGCAATCAAGAGTTCGAGCTTCGTATATACCTATCCAACCCTCATGGACCACAAGTAGCTCAATTTGATATGGGTCAAACTGGATGTGAGTTACTAAAGAGGTGGACTCATGGTTAGACCGGGTGCAAAACTTACGCGTAGAGTTCTTACTTGTTAGCTTAACCCAACTCTTTGTGCTCCAAAGACAGAGCTGAAGAAAACAAATACACTTTAGAAATCCTGAAAGTAACAATTTTGGGTATCTACAGATGCATGTACAAACCTTTCCATCAGAGTCGGATGAGACGAGGACATTAAAACAGCGGGAAAATGCTAGGCAGGCTATTTTCTGATCGTGGCCCTCCAGCTTTTCTTTGACCTAAACATGTACAGCTTTATAACATCTTTAAGCAGCAGACAAAGTCAGGCAAACGGTTTCAGACGATTACTACAAAAACAAAGACTTTACCTTTCTCGAGGATAAACAATGGATAAAGATAGAACCATCATCTAGCCCAACTGCAAGCAAATCACCAGGAATAAATATAAAATACGTAGCCATAGGTGTAGGACTTCCAAAAGCAGCTACCTTCTGCAGTTTTGTGCAAACAGTGTCATTTGATGATGCAGACACAAAGTCAGGACCTAAAAGCTTATAACACTACAACGCTTATTACCTCAAAACTCTTTACATCAAAAACTGCTATTTTTCCTCCTGAAGTAGAGAAAAGATAGGAACCCTTGATGGCGAAACATGACGTTGAATTCTGAACAGAGGCGGCCATCTCGTTTTTCATAGTTTTCCCACTTTGAGGTTGATGTAATTGTGGCTTCGGAAATACATTTTCCTTCAATATTCTAGGAGTATACTGTAAGCAAAAAATTTAAAGAATCAAGTAGATAGGGTAAGTAGTCAAGACATCAGCGCTGAAATATAGGAGAGAGGAGAGATAATTATGGCATCTGAGACTAAACCTTGCAGAATTCATTTTGGCTACTTGCCCACGTCCAGAGTTTATGTGTGGCGTCTTCTGCCAAAGCCAGTATGTAATCTCCAGAAGGGGAATAGGTCAAACGTGCAACCTACCAAAGTCAACAAAATCAATGAGATCCCAATAGTTGAAGATATAGAACACAAGTTTTACTATATGCATCAACAAACAGCATTGTCATTCAATATTCATCGAGGACTACAAGCGTAGGTGACACTTTCATTCCAAACAGCTCAAGCGAAATAAATTTCTCAGAGAATATGGTTTCTAGATGATGCTACTACCGAGAATGTATACACAGGTGGCAGAAACTCTGTAGTCAAATAATAAATGCTAACATGAGACATTCCCCTTTAATTAACTGATACTATTACTCTGAACAAAGTAAAGTTCTTGGGAGTAACAAAGCACAATCCTTGATGGCTAGAATTTCTCAAGAGCCATTTTCTTGTTTCCTTCTAAAGATCAATTAAAAATGTGAATGAATGCCTTGGATGACATGAAGACTGAAGTACATCAAATTTTAACAGATTCTGGAGAAAGTAACCTTACCCTCTCTTCCGAGCAATAATCAGGAAGAACGAGTGCATTGCACTGAGATGGATCATTGATTTCGTTTGGTTTGCAGTTAACAACCTTCTTCCTTGGCCCTGTTTTATTGAATTTTTTTCTCAAAGAGGATGGTGTGCCACAAAGGTATGACACTACTGGAACATTTTCCAGAGAACTAGAACTGTTGCATGTACTAGAAGTCCACCAGTCCATACTGCATGAGGTGAAGGAAATCAGAACTAAAAGAAACCACGAAAAGACAATCAAGACTAGGGAAAAAAAAGCCTTTGGCAGCCTTACGTCTGCTTCATTAGTGTTAAAAGTCTTGACTTTTCCATGCTAGGAAACTTGAGTTTATCTTTCAGTACGGGATTCTTCTTCGCTAGCATGGCAACAGAGGCATGTAGCTTTATCTTCGGCGACATATTATCAAGAGATCCAGTTGGGGTTGCAACCTCCCTGCAGTAGAAAATCTTAATCAGGATGAAAGCTGTGGCCTGTCGAATAAATAATTAATAGGATTTACTAAAGACCACTAAATCTAGAATTGCTCAATCGATTAGTGCACTTTTCATCAGCATACTGCGGACGAGTAAATAGCTTTTCAAGAGGTGTTTTTTGTATCAAAATTGACAAATTGAAGTCTAACTACTTTTCATCAGCATACAGTAGAAAACTGACAAGTAGAGAATTTGGGGATAGTAAATATGAACTGAGTATAACTACTTTATGTTGCGCTTATGTTCATGCTTTCATCATATGCAGAGTCCTCAACAAAATAATTGGGATCTCATAATGAAGATATATAGATCCAAAACCAACCATTCTGTAGATTGTAGGCATATAAGTTTCTGAATTTCAAGAAACATAGCCTTTGAGTACTTGTTATCTTTTGAGTCTGTAAAAGCTCCCAGGTACTCTTCAGCTTTGCCATATTCACCGAGCTTCATCACTTCCGCAAGATAATTTAAGTTGAAGAAGACTTTAGTTTCTTGCTCTAACCTTCAGAAAGAAAAAGTTATCAACAATAAGTAAACAATTATATATCCAAAATCATATTTATCCCTGCAAAGCTTACTTATGCAGAGTGTTCTTGTACTTGGCTTCATAGAGAAATTGAAGGATTAAGCAAATGAGATCTTCCTACAAGAAACGCACTGATCAGAAACAAAAGAACCCGAGAAGCCAAAAATCTCTTCCATTGCATTATTAGTTAACATAGCTTTTTTCGGTTCCTTCGACAATATGTATAATTTTACCTTCAAACCTCCATTTCTCCCACTACAATTTGGACATATGAGGGAGATAAGCGACAGCAGTGCAGATTTATTCAAGCTCGGAAATTCAAGTTTGTCACATAAACAAGGATTGCTTTCTGCTAGTTTATGGAGATCAACACACAATTTAGCTCTTCCCGGTGCTTTGTCCACGCAACAAGTTTCCTCAGGAATCCTATAAACAAAACAACCACTAAAAACTCTATATAACCTGCATTGTGGCAACAAATTATCAATAGCTAAATATATCTTAACCCTTGCCTCATATCATCTACAGCAATCACCTCAACCAAATCGTCGAAGCTATCATCTTTTAAAACAGGAATCCGTCTCAAATCCTTAGAGAATATGTTCACAGCTTCAGAGCCACCACTTCTGCAGAACATAACAAAAATGATCAATGATGAATCAATAGCAATTCTTTAAGAAGATTAGGGGAATGCTTGCCTATCCGGTGCTTCGGATAATTTCCGCTTGAACAAATCAAAGAACATCTTCCTTGAATATGTATTTGCTTCTGGACGAGTGAATGCTAAAAGATAATCATCTGCTTCTTTAAAGTTACCATTAAGGATTGCATTGGAGAAGTAACTAAAATCGAAGAAAACTCTTGAATCCTGCTCCAATCTTCATAACAAAAACAAATCACACAATTAGCCATAACCAAAACTATTTAAGAAACCAAAAATCAAAATCAAAGAAACAATTGTAACCGTACAAGTGTAAGCTTTCTTCGTAACCCTCTTCATCAAAGAACTGTAAGATTAGGAATACGAGATTTTTTCGATTTTTCTCGTCTAAGATCATCGTTTAGCTCCAGAGGAAATTTAGGGTTTGAGAGATATCAATTTTGGTAGCGAAGGAGATGAAATCGCACGGAACGGCAAGTAGAATCCCGAAATTGTATCGAGATTTGGAGAAAGAAGACGAATGGGAAATTTGCAGGTCAGCCAAAGTTTTATCGTCGTCTTCGTTTAATCCGCTAATGGACAGTCTAGTGTAGTGAAAGCAACGGAGGTCAGAGAGAGAAGCGATAAGGAGTGTGATAAGTGCACCTACTTATCGTTACCCTCAGACTACTATAAACTTCAATTGATGACAACTGGTTTAAATGCAGCGGATGCGGGAATTCACATAAAGAGACAGAAGTTGCAGTTTCAACAGTCGCTTAGGCTCCGACTGGTAACACGTGTTATTAAGGTTGAATTGCAGTCGATGATATAATTCGATGTAATCCGCATTAAAAATTATGTGGTATAAACTGTAGACTGATATAGTAATTTACTGTAGAAATATGAGTTATCAGTCTGATCAATACAAGTGACCGGTAACTTTTGTGCTTTAAAAGTTGTTGTATATGTTATTAAAGCTAATTAAATTAAATATCAATAATTATAATATTATTTCTTACAAATTAAATAATTAAATAAAATAATACTAAAAAAATAGTTAATTTGAAAAATATTTTTGTACATAATAGTTATAAAACTAATGACTTACATTTCATAGCATATTTAAAATTTCATATGTATTAAATCTAGTCCTATAAATAGTTTTTGATAATTAAATGAAAATAAAAACATAAATTTAAAATTTTAAAGATGTTAAGAAAATTAAGAAATTTAATTACCTATTTTTTATGAAATGTTATTGAATAAAATTAAGATAATAATAAAATTTCCTCATTATTCAAATTAATTTAAGATATTTTCTTTTAATTTAAAACTAATTTTCGTTTTTTAAAAAAATAGTAAAAATTATAACTCTACTTACCACGTCCTAACTCATGAGAATTTCCATGTTTTTGAGTTAAGTTTTGATTTAGCAATTTTACAAAAGAGATAACTCAGAATTGTAAATCATTTATAACTCAACAAACTTCAACCTCTATTTAAAACAAATCATAATTGGTAACATTTTTGAGTTATCTTCCTAATTCAATGATACCACATAATAACTCATGTCACCAATCACCTAAGTAATTTATACGACTAGCTTAACTATTATAAGAGCGGTAACGATTGTTATTTTTGACTGTAGAGATTTTGGATGTAAGAACTTTTGCCGTAAAATTTTTTTGTTATAAGGATTTTGACAGTAAAGATTTTTCCACAAAAAAATTTGGTTGGTTAAGACTTTGAAACAAATTGGTAAAATTTATGAGTTTTGAATATTATAACTATAAATACCAATATAAATGATTAGATTATGACATATGTGATACAATGATTTTCTTTTCATTTTTACCGAAGAGATCGTTGTTATTGATATTGACACAATTTGTGACCGTTTCCGATGATTGTTAAATCTTACCAAAAATTATGAAAAATAGATCTTAAAATAACCAAAAATAAATGATTATTATTTAATTCAATACTTCTTTGTAATAAATTAGACATATGGGGTGATTGGTTGAGTCTTTAAAGACTTTTACTTTAAAGACTTTTACTTTAAAAAAAAAGGTTTTAAAAGCCAAAAATTTGCAAATCAGACTTTTACTTATTTTTCTCTTTTCAAAGTTTTTAAAGTCACAACTTTTGTTTTTGCCATTTTCCTTTCATTTTGTTTTAAGTCACATAAACATGGCTATAGAATCATTTTTAGAAGAGGGTCAATTGGTAATGACTTTTACTTTTGGCTATAAAGACTTTTGTTGTAAGAATGTTCACTATAGAAACTTTTGTTTTAAAGACTTTAACTGTAAAGAATTATGCAGTAAAAATTTTGGCTGTTGAAACCAATTGGTAAAAATTATGAGTTTAGAAATTATAATTTTAAATAATATAAATGATTAGATTATGACTTGTGCAATACAATAAAAAAAAGTTTCTCTAACGAAGAGATCGTTGTTATTGGTATTGACACAATTGATGACGGTTTCCGGTTAATCTCACCAAAAATACAGAAAATGGATCTTAAAAGAATCTAAAAAGATAATTATTTGTGATAAATTACACATAGATTTGAAAAGAATTTTTAACTACGAAAGAGAAGAATAATAATAGAAAAGAAGAAAAGCAAGAATTTTTAATCTAACTTTAACTAAATAAAATCCTAAAGCCATGTTTACCTGATTTTAAAAAAAAAATGAAAGAGAAAAGGTTAAAAAAATTTGACTTTTGAGAATTAAAAAAAAAAATAAGTTCAAACATGATTGGAAAACTTTGGGCTGTTAAAATGTTTGTTAAAGTAGAAGTCTTGAAAGTCTAAACCAATTACCCCCTAAAGTTGGATTAAAAATTTTCTATTTCTTATTTTCTCTTATTATTCTTCTCTTCATTAGTACGAATTTCTTTTTATTATAATCTATATGTAATTTATCAAAAATAAAGATTGGATTAACTAATAATCATTTTTTCCAGCTCGTTTATGATCCATTTTCTAAAATTTTTGGTGAGATTTACCGATAATTGGAACATGTCATAATCTAGTCATTTATATTATCTAAAACTATAATTTCTAAACTCACAATTTTTATCAATTAGTTTCAAAATTTTAACAACCAAATTTTCTATTGCAAAAAAGTCTATTCAGTAAAAGTTCTAATAGCAAAAATTTTTACATTCAAAGTCTCTACAGCCAAAAGTAACAGTCGTTATCAATCGGTCCGTAGATTAGAAATGAATTTTTGATACTAATGGGCAAAAGAATTATTATAGAAAAAAAGAAAGAGAAAAGTTTTATTCTAACTTTAACAAAAAGGGGGTGATTGGTTACCACTTTAGTTTGGTGCTCAAAAAAAAAAAAAAAAAAAAGGTTACCACTTTAGTGACAGTTATTTTTAAGTGGTTCTGACTTTGTTGGACATTTTTATTAATTGCTATAATTCAAAAATGTGAACTCTTGTTTCATCATGATCATTTGTTGAACTCACCAAAAAAAAAAGATCATTTTGCTGAAACCCGATCCGAACCCGATACCCGATTATCCGAAATTACTTATACTTATACATATAAAAACTTTATATATATATAATACAGCAAAACCTCTATAAATTAATAATGTTGGGACCATGAAATTTTATTAATTTAGAGAGGTATCAATTGACCCCCATAACATTTATGAGTTTTTTGTTTTTTTAAGGTAAATGACAATAATTTATGGATATTTTAGTTTAATTTTTCCATAATGACCCCCATGCCAACAATCAATTTCTTAATTTGACCCCTCACATGTTTATTTTTTATTTAGCATTAATTCATTTTTCATTTTTTGTTTTATATTTTTTCTAATATATGGCTATAAATCTCTAAAATCATGGTACATATTAATTTTTTAGATATGTTCTATTTTTTTCCTTAGTTTTTTTTAAATTGTTCTTAGAAATATTTTATTTAGTTTAAAATAAATGATTTAATATTAATATATAATTAAATAAAAATAATTAATTATATATGACCCCTATAAACTAAAATTCTAGCTCCGCCACTGTGACCAACTCCGTAATTAATTCTATAACGGAGCCATTAATTAATTCTATGGTAATTCTAGACAATGGTTTTTATTTATTTCCTTTGCCAGCTTAAAAGGAAAAAAAGGCAAATATACATGAGAAAATATAGGTCACACCCAGTGGGATTCGAACCCACAATCGCTTGATTAGAAGTCAAGCGCCTTATCCATTAGGCCATGGGTGCTTGTTGTTAGGTGAACGAAATTTAATATTATATCTCATAATTTAATATTATATCTCATAATAAAATTTATTAATATCACAATAAAACTTACTTAGATATTATATCCTAATCTATTTTTTTTTTTGGTAAGCCCTAATATCAGGTTTTTGTAAGTATTTAATCTTGTCCATGTTAAGCCAGACTAAAAGAATTATCATTTAGGGTTTCTCGCATCGTAGCCATATCCCATCTTCTCAATGTGAGGATCTGAGGAAAAGTTACTAATTTTTAAGGTTTTGGGATTATGCTATTTTAGTAATTGAAAGAGTTTCAGTGGTTTTGAGTTTTGACTATTAGTATATAAGTTGATTAAGGCCATCATCAATTATTACGATGAAGGAAACTTGAGAGACTTTAGCTCTATGTTCATTTTTTGTTTAAATGCATTAAGCAGATCGGCTGTTGAACAAACTATATAAGTTTTTATTGTTAAATTTTGTTTTTATGTTCTCTGTTTTACTTATCAAATTTAGTTGTGCCTAGCTATTAGGGAACAATTAAAATGGTTAGTTGAATTCTTGGTCATCATTTGTGACTAAGCATACGTTCATTATTGAGTTGTGTTGTCTGTGATTTTAAGGATGCATGCATATTGTATAGTGTCTTGGTTTGATGTTGATGATAATGTGTTGCGGTTTTTAACTTCTTGTGTTTTGGTTTGATGTTGATGATATTAATATTTTGTTTCCGCTTTTAACGTGTGTCTAATTTTTCAGTGATCATGTATCTCGGTTTGTCGATGAGATTCCTCTAGGCGACAATGCATACCCTGATAGTAGTGAAAACTTCGACGACGAAGACATAAAGAAAAGGGAAAATTATGAGGATAGGAGATACAAGGGAAAATTATGAGGATAGGAGATACAATTTAGCTTTAGGCAAAGTTTTTACTGAGATTGAGATTTGAGAAGCCGTTCTGCCCCTATTTACATATTTCAAACTAGGCATTTGGTTGCTCTTTGCGTGGATTTGGCAGCCCACAATAAGATAATTCCACTACTTGATGTATTAGCTCTTCCAGATTTGGTTCCTTATAAACATATTTTAGTGGCAGTTGAGAACCGTTATCTTGTGGGTTGACAAATCAATGCAAAGAGCAAGCAAATGCCTTGACTAAATAGGGTACAGTACATCATCTCGATCTCAATGAACCATGAGCGCCTAGAATTATCAATGAGGCGGGTAGTTTCAGATCTTTCGTAAGGTAAACACCATTTTCTTCCTCTTAGCTAGCAAGTAGCAACAACTTAATTAGGGTAATCCTTTGTGGTTGCTGAAGCCAAAAACTAATGCGGCTTTGGTTTAGTCGTTTTCATGCATCACGCGTT